AGGAACCGATGCCTGAACCAAACCTGCTACCAAGCCTGCAACGTTCTACCCTTCTGAGAGTTGAGTGTGTGTTTGTATACCTGATGTCGCCAGCATAGCAACATAGCAAAGCTATATGCAACAAGCAAACAGGAGTTGAAGGTGCACCTGACTGATGCCACGAACAGTCGACCAGAAGCCCCTGTATCATCCCTTCATATAAGGGCTTGACTAACTTGCATAAGGGTTTAAGAGTAAAAACTATATAGGACGACAAAGGACACTATATCTGGTTCTTCCCGTTCGTCCTCCACCCTATGTACTACCCAGTCCTGCACCCCCCCAAAAACAGAACAAAAAGTACTGCCCAGAGCCTACCCAGCTTCTGGAAATATTCCTGCAGCCACATTTAAGGAGGATGTACCATGCGGAACCTCAGTGAAGGGATGTTGGGATGTTTGGACGAGACCCCAATGAAAAGCGCTTCATAATTCGAAAAGGCTTTGGCGTGCATCAAGCTTCATCAAAACAGGGCAACAAGGCAACAAGGCGCCCTGGTCAACAGGATTGGTAGTTCTGTAGTCCCCTCCCTCTCTCTCTCTCTCTCTCTCTGTCTCTCTCTGTCTCTCTCTCTCTCTCTCTCTTTCTCTCTCTCTCTCTCTCTCTCTCTCTCTCTCTCTCTCTCTCTCTCTCTCTCTCTCTCTCTCTCTCTCTCTCTCTCTCTCTCTCTCTCTCTCTGCATGTATAATATAACTATTTGCAATTTCAAATGGCTACGCAGCCCCAAGCCAGCTCTCTCTTAGCTCGCCTTGCTGGACTTTCGCTGCGACCCGATGGCTGCTCCTGTCGCGTCCGGGGATTCTGCGGGGAGTTGGGGCCTCCATCAACTCCCGGGTTTCCGATTTTACCTATACCCTAAGGGTCCATGTACTCATATAAGGGTACCATAAGGGATCCTTTAAGGGATCTATAAGGGTTCGATAAGGGTTTAGGGTATAAGGGTCCATGTACTCATGTAGTTTCTACCTTGGCCTTATGTGGTCCCTATATAGGTACTTTGGGGCTCATGTATCTCTATATGGGTACATGGACCCTTAGGGATAGTCTCCATTGTAGTTCTTTCTTGTGGTTACCTTATAGGATTCTAATTATATAATTGAGGAACTAGAGTGGAGACTAATTCTAGGTAGAGTTCAGGGGCAGGGGCGTAGGGTTTTAGGGCGTAGGGCGGTTTAGGTTCAGGGGTGCAGGATTCCAGGATGTTGGGTTCAGGAATTTGCTTTGATGGCTGCTTATGCTTAGAAATTGAGGGCTTGGAGTGCACAGAACCTGCAGCCATAGAGGCTGTAGGTTCGCAATGGGCTCCCCGGTCAAGCCCTCTAGAGACTACATTTATTCGATACTATTTTAGGGTCCAAGTAAACCTTCCACCCAAGCGTCCCTGCCCAAACCCTAAACCCTAAACCCTAAACCCTAAAGCCGAAACCCGACAACCCTAGAAACCCAAAAACCTTACACACAGACTCCCCGACTCCCTAAATTCAGGCACCAAACTTGTGAACCCAAAGGGTCCAAGTATCATTATGGTATATACTTAGATCCCTAAAATACCCTATAAGTATATACCATAATTACACTTGGACCCTTTGGGGAACAACAGGGAAGGAGGGCGAGATGCTTGTGTTGCAGGGGGGCCGGGAACTTCCAAATCCTGCATTACCCATAATAAGAAATATACCATAATTCCCATAGCTTCGGGTCCTTAAGGTAATCCAGGATTTATATCATCAACCGAAGCTCCGCAAGTTTTAGTAGTTAGGAATCCGGAACCCTTGCAGCAGGGACAGCTATCAGGCTCCAGCTCCCAAAAAGCCCCTAAACCCCTAAAACCTAAGCTCTAAACCCAAAACCCCTAAACCCCCAAACCCTAAGCTCTAAACCCAAAACCCCTAACCCCCTAAACCCTAAGCTCAAAACCCAAACCCCCTAAACCCCTAAACCCTAAGCTCAAAACCCAAACCCCCTGGCCCCCTCGACCCACGCGGGAAGATCCTCCTTCCTTTCCTGGACGGCCGCTGCAGCTGCAAGGTTCGTGGTCCCACCTCCATGTAGGCTCGGGTCCAGTTTGGGGAGACCCCATCTGGGTGGTTGTCAACATTTTGGTCCCTTTTTGGGTACCCTAAATATTAAGTGCCGTAATACAATAAGGACCCAAAAAGGGACCATGATGACAAGCACCCATATGGAGGATCCGGTTGTCATGGTTCTTCATAGTACCGATGGACTTTTGTTGTGGATGGGGATGAGTGTATAAAAAGACACCGCGGAATATGTGGTCCTCAGGGCCCTAGAGGCTTGAGATTTCGGCTCGAGCTCGTTCATGGTCTCGCAGCAATCCGGAAAAGCCTTGGAGCTTAGGACTTGGAGCTTTTGGGCTTCGGGGTTTTTTAGGGAAAGTGGCCTTTACCCTAAACCGCAACCGTTCTCGGTTCTGTAGGTCCTCCCACACCTGGCCTGGCCTTAGTGAATTCATCTACCAGGCAGACACGCATTGACACACATTTCGCCAGCAGTTCACGCTTCCCGTGTGCATTCGAGCCCATGGGCAAAGGCCACTGTGTTACTTGTAGAACCTGCTGAACTGCTTGATTGAAGGAGGGTGGAAACCCTCCCCTCACGGTTGAAAATCTCGAAAGCTACATCGGAGCTCTGTGTCAATACGAGTCGAAACCTCAACAACATCAGAACTAATATCCGCAAGGTACATATATGCCCTTCTATCGCCACCTTCCACTGCCGCCGCTTCCGGGATTGTCTTGGCAGGAATCTCGCTGCTCTCCTGCTTCCGCTGCTCCTCCTTGACGCTTCAGAGGGCCGAGAGATGGTCCCCGGTGGCTTCGGACTTTAGGCAGAGTCCAGGGATGTTGATAGGTATTTCCCACTTGTTGCTGCTTTCGGGGTGTCGGGTTGGGGAAATCTCCGATAGCCCGCAAGCCATTGTTGCACAAAGCGAACGAAGCACAACTGTGTCGTGCACGGTGGCTGCATAGGTATACTTCTGTCAATGTGTCAATGTAAACACACCTGCGAGCTGCCAAAACTCTCAGTGCGATTCCCCCTCATTGCCCTTGATGGGGCTCCAAAAAGACCACGCGAGCACTTTCAAGCCGTGCGAACCGTGTGAAATCTCCTACACGAAGCAGCACCTTAGCCTCTAGCCCCTGTCCCTAGACCGCCAAGCCTGCCGCATCCCCACCCCAAACCCTGAACCCTACCTGTCTCCCAACAAACCAAGCCTTTGCAAACGGACATCTAGAGCTGTACGAATATCACTAACAAGCACGCTAAAAAGCCTAAACGCTAAAAACGAAACCCTACATGCCTACCTACCATAGACCCCCGACTGCCCTCTAACATACCCATTGTAAGAACCACACAAGCTCCATTACACTAATGGGCACCCTAAACACCCGTTGTTAAGAACCGCAAGGGCTCTTTTAAGGAGCACTTGTGGGTCCTGGTGAACCCAAATTCTGTGGTATTTGGGGCTCGGGAGTCCTCGTCGCCACGGCCACGCGGCTTCCCACGTCGCCGCGGTGGGGCAGCAGAAGGCTCCGACACGACACCTGCAGCGAAATGGGGGTTTCAGAAACTGTGGCTCCATAGTAGTTCTTTTTGCGGATTACCTTATAGGATTCTAAATATGAACCCCGAAAAGGAACTACTATGGAGCCTCTGGGATAATGTAGGGGTGTAGGGCTTAGGATTTAGGGAGGGGCCTAGATCAATACTTCGAACAGGATTCTGGCGTACCGCACCGCGAGGAACACTATCGGCGGTCATTCAGGCTAATATGGGAGTTTCCGCAAATAGGGGACCCTAATATAGTACCTTCAATAGCAGGATCCTTATTCTAAGGACCCCAAATAAGATACCCCTAATTTTCGGAAACTCCCATATGTTACTCTGTTTAGCGTGCCCTAGTTTCCGCAGATCCCAAGTCGGATCCCTTGGAATGCAGGCTTCCAAGAAACCCTACTCTTCTGAGTTGTACTTTAAAATCTTTTTGATATCTGCGATGGAATTCCACAGGCCTTGTGTTCAACCAAGACTGTCCCCGAATTTCAGAGACTATAGGGTCCAGACTGGGGCTTTTTTCGGATTCAGGGCTTGAACTTTGTTCAACGCTACAGCTTGTGGTTCTCAGTTGAGCCTTTCGCAGAGGCTGAGTTTCGCCGGCGCATGCACCCGCCTTCGAATAGCTTGGGTATCAAAGTTTGGGGTTTGCAAACTTTTTAAGTTTCGAGTTGCTGGTGAGGGGTTCAGGGCTTAGGGTGTATAGGTTAGACAGTAACCCTCAACCCTAGACCCTAAACCTTAAGCATCAAGGTATGATTTGGGACTGCATTTTCGGCTCCAAGTGCGGATCTGCTTTCGTTCCGGTGATTCTGATGATTTTAGATCTTGCAATGCAGCTGTGCCGTGCAAGCCTGCAAATGCTCCGGGTTTGGGACAGGCTGTTGTTGTGGCTGCAGAAACATGTAAGGGGTCTATAATCGGAGTACCACGTGGCACCGACGAGCAGCATGCGATTTGGTAGCTTTGATTCGCGTTCCTCAAAAGCGTTATTGGCTTCAATCCTCAGTCGGAAGCAAGAGGCTACAACCAACACCAGTGACAACAAGTGATGAGCTCGTCGAAGCATCCCGGCATCGCCCGCGAATAGCGAAAACACACCGGTGCCAACACCGCTTCGCAACACCATGAGCCGTCTGGTTCATGAGGCTTCGTCTGAAACCCTAACCAAGGCCCGCCGCTTCCCCAGACCCGAATTACCGTAAACCATGTACCACGCATAAACCTTGTGCACCCTTAGAACCAACATAAACACGAGATGGCCATTACACCCCTGGAATAACTTGATATATTTAAACTTAATTCACTTAATTCAACTAAATTAAATGTACAGAACTCCAAAGAGCACTCAGGAAACATTAAACCCCGCGGCGAAGAGCCTCGAATCACCGTACCTGCTCGGGGACGTCGCACTGACCCCATCTGTTTCTGCCGAAACAGACCAAGTCTCCATCGGCTGTTATCACACAGGTATGATGTAGTCCGGCAGATACGGCTGAAACAGGGCCAAGGGTCTCTGGAACGTCGCATTGGCCGTCCTTGTTCAATCCGAAGCACACCAGCCGTCTGTCGGCCGTGATTGCACAGGTGTAGTGATATCCTGCAGACACTGCCAAAACGGGACCCAAGTCTGCAGGCACTGCGCACTGGCCCTCGCTCCTTTCGCCGAAGCAAACCAGCTGCCCGTCTGCCTTCACTGCGCAGGTGTGATCTTCGCCGGCTGATACAGCCAACACAGGGCCCAGACCTGCTGGGACGCGGCACTGGCCCTCGTTTCCGCGTCCGAAACAAAGCAGCTGGCCGTCTATCTGCACTGCACAGCTGTGGTGAGCTCCGGCAGCAACCGCTATTACTGGCCCGGTGCCTTCCGGCACATCGCACTTGCCCTCGTTAGGATGACCAAAGCAAACCAATCGTCCATCCACCCTCACTGCACAGGTGTGAGAGAAATCCACAGCAACAGCTAGAGCTTGTCCAAGCATGGCTGGCACATCGCACAGCCCATGGCTGTTTTGTTGCAGGTTCACGACTTGCCCAGGCTTGATGTTCTGGACGTACTCTTTGTTGGCTCCGAAGCAACGCAGTTGTCCATCCGTCGTTATGACGCAGGTGTGATGATAGCCTGCAGACACTGCCACAACAGGTCCCAAATCTGCTGGCACATCGCACTGGCCTTCTTCGTTTCGTCCGAAGCATACAAGCTGCCCGACGGCATTCAACGCGCAAGTGTGCTGGTATCCTGCAGACACGGCCAGTGCAGGCCCCAGGTGCGGTGCCATAGCCTGAGACAGCACGGATATGCATTCCACGACTCGCCTTTTTGCGAGGCATAGGGCAACACTTCTTGGGGCACGCGGTTCATGTGCACGTCTCTGGCTGCATGCAAGAGTCGGCAATCCTTCACCAGCGCAGCCGCGTAGCTGACGGGAAACCATTTGCCACGGCTAGACAGCTCCCCCGTATGATACGGATCATTGTGACTGCCTAAATTATCTGTTCATGGCTTCTCATAAAGCGTTGAAATATATACATCCTCCTTCATCATCGAGAGAGCATGCTGGAAGAACTACAGCATGCAGAGAGCTAAGAACTGCACGAGGCAAACACGAAAGGATGGAGGCCTCGCGGAGGTTTCATGTTGAACGTCATGTACATTCAGAAGAGCCACGTCTCGGACGTAGTAGCAAACAGGCACTCAACATCTCAGTAAAAAGCCAGACCCCTGAACCTTGAATACCGACATCCTACAGCATCCTCATACTTGTCCAGCATTCTATGGGAACTTCAAGTGAACATTCAGAGTTACATAGGGGTTACAGTGCGCCAAGGGTACCCACCGTACTACTAAGCCCTAAACCCTGAACTGCCCTTCCAAGGCCGTTTCTGTGCAACACAATGCTTACTTGAAGGTTCATGGGTAGTTATAAGTGGGTTGATAATGACAAAGGACCTGTGATCTGCATATTGGCTGAAGGGCCCAACCGTGAAGCCTGAGAACAAATACTCACCCTCAGGGTCCATAAACCCTACCCAAAGCCGGGCAGAGCTTCTTTGCAAACCCGGCTCAACCCAACTCCCCGCCTGACTCATCCGCGCGCTGCTCCCAGGGTTCCTCTTGCCCGAGGCCGGTTTCAGGTTTAGCCGACAACGGTCCGTGCACCCAAATGGGATATTGCGGGCTTAAAGTAACCCCAAGTAGTCCCTGTATGGGTACTTTGAGGTCAGAGTTTTTTCCACTTTGGTACAAGAATTTGGGAGTTTGAGAATTGGTCGGGGGCCTGTGGAGGGGGGGCTGGTACAACTTTAGGGTTTGGGTTGCATGTCTACCTCAAAATCCCAAACCCTACTTTTTTGTGGGTTCTTATTATAAACCCTAAATGGAATTTATAGGGACCCTACAAAAAAGTAGGTTTTGGTAGCTTAAGGTAGGTCTAGGTTTACACAGGTTCTACGTGCAATTAGGCAGCGGCGTCTAATCGGAGCCTCGGAAGATGGTAGCAGCTCCATTAATGACTTTTCTGTATTTATATATTTAAACACCCTAAGGGTACAGAAGACCCAATAATATGGTGTCTAAGGCGTACACAAGACCCGATAGTATGGTGCTTGGGTTTAGGATAGTAGTTATGTAGGTTAATATCTGGGAGAATAAGTTAATATGATTATTTAATATGATTACTAGGTACTTGGACTCTTGGGGCAGTGTATCACGTCCTAAGCGAGTTCAGGGTTTAGGGTTCAGGCTGGTAGGGGTTTAGGGTTTTTGGGCTTCGTAGTACTCCAGCACTTGTAGGACGCGGCGTCTACTTGGAGGTTCATGGGTAGTTATAATAAGGGGGGGTTATAAGTCCCAGAATATGGGTTATAAGTATAGTTACTCTACTTACAACCCGACTTATAACTACCCATGAACCTCCATGTAGGCCCTAAACCCTATACCCTTATAGAATCCCTATAGATCCCTTTAAAGGGACCCTTAAAGGAACCCTTATAGCTACCCATGAGCCTCCAAGTACCACGAGCAGAAGCTGAGCCTCCCCCCGCGCAGCCTTAACCCCAATTCCCTCCACAGCACAGCTCTCCACGAATCGTCCTAAAGGGAACTCCAGAAAGTTGGAATATGGATTAATGGTAGGATCCCCTATCATTTACCTTAAAGGGGTTACGATAACGATATTCCAACTTTCTGGCTTCTACTGTAGTTCGATAAGAAGGTTTACGGTTTAGGGTGCCGGCTTGATTTTGGGCTTGGTGTCTATGGTCAGGGGGTACTTTGGTCAATGTCACCTGAACTTAAGCTTCAGGGGCGAGGCATACTGCACTGATTAAGGTACATATATGCAGCTCATGAATGACTTCTGCACTCAGTTGAGGCATAAGAGTGCCTACTTGGAGGCTCGGGGGACTTAGCAGGTAGGTAGTAACTAGACTTATAAGTACCCTAAAAGGGACCCTAATTGGGGTTATGGTACTTATAAGTCCCTAAAATAACCAGATACTAAGTCCCCCGACCCTCCAAGTATGCATCACTCGAGTACTTGGACACCGAAGCATGCCTAAGACCTCAGCCAACTCAAGACTGCAATCGTAAAGCTCAAAGCTGAACCTCACGTCTGAAGCCACCGGCACTTATTAGGGCTTACCTTAACCCTGAAGAACCTACCTTTGTGGGGTTCCGTATTATGACTTCCTTTTATCAGTCCTTAGAAAGGTAAGTTATTCCGGGTTAAGGTCGTGTTTAGGGTGTAGGGTTTCACTTCCATACTCCGAAGATGACGAGACACTAAAGCCTAAACCTACGGACGTGGGGCTGCCCCTGCCGTAAACCGCTGAATCCGTTGAACCCGAGCCCGGTGATCAAGCCAAATGTGGGAGTTTCCGAAAATCAAGGGTACCTTATTTTGGAGTCCTTACAATAAGGATCCTACTATTTAGGGTACTATATTAGGGTCCCCTATTTTCGGAAACTCCCAAATGTAGAGGCCTGAAGAGCTACCAATAATGTGCTTGACAGGGCTCCTTATTATAATTAGATTATGAGATACTCTCAAGCCCCGTTCAAGTTATACAGGCTTATTATGTGTCCAGTATCCTAGTGAGCTAAAGGTTAACCTCCGTGATTTTACAAGAATTTCAGTATCCCAAACTGTTTATACAGCTTATCTACCCTACTACTAAGTCTCTCATCATAAAGGCCCCTATGTGGGGGTTTCCGAAAACAGGGGTCCCTAATATGGACCTTAAATAGTATACCCTTATTATAAGGACCCCCAAATAAGGTACCCCTCATTTTCGGAAACTCCCATATCAGACCAAGATGCCGGGGCTCGGCGTTCGCGGCGGGGCATCGAGCCTGTTGGGCTCTCTGGATTTTTTTTTGGGCTCGGGATGTGTTCAGGGTTTAGGGTTTACAAGGGTAGGGGTTGAGGGCTCGGGGTCCGGGGTAGAAGCCATAGAGTTGGAGAGAATAAGGAACCTGCAAAATAGTCCTGGTACTCATGTAGGCCCCTATAGTACCACGAGAAGGATTTCAATTCTACCCGCCGTGATACGACACTCAAACCCGTCGCGAAGACTTTGAGGCCGAAGCCTTGAAACCCAAATCACATGCAGGACATCAAGTTACAGTAGAAGCCAGAAAGTTGGAACATCAGTATCCTCATGCCCTCTAGACCCAAGAGTAACCCAGGCATAAAAAGGATGCCCTTTTTGGGTTAAAGGGGTTTATAAGGGAACCTGAACCCTAAAAAAGGGAATAAGGGCCTACTCTAGGTCCTAGCCCTTAAGGTCAAGTATAGGGGGATGCCAGCACTATTCATCCTAAACCTATGGTCCAAATTCCTGGGGTTCACTATAAGTCATAACACCTGCAACCATCAAACCTGTGAGCCACGACTGTACACCGTCAGCACAGGCCTGAGAGCCCACAAGGCATAAGTCAAACAAACCTGGCCGGGACCCTGAACGCGAAAAGCGGGGGCACCGGGCAGGAACCAAACGATGTAGGGGCCTTTAGATTGAGAATCGGGTCAAAGGGCCCGTTATGGTATACTTACATCGGGACTTTCAGGGATGATGCTACAAATCGTTCCGACCTACATATTACTAAACCCAACCCATGTTTCATCACGAGCCTCACAGTAGCTCCGCCACATCAGCTCACACTCATGCATTGGGTACGGCCCCCACTCAGTAATAGTTGAATAATAATCATAATATGGATATATTAGGACCTCAACAGTAGCCCTATGATAGACCCTTACTGTATGGGGGCAGTACCTAACTCATGCACTCTTTATCCTTCATGGCTCGGGTTTAGTTTTTAGGCGGCTTCGTTTGCAAGGTCACAAAGTGCACGGTTTGGGGCTTAGGCTTCGGCTCATAGAGTTCAAGGCGTAGGTTTCAAGGCTTAGGTTTCAGTTCAGCTTGTAAGGATTTAGGGCTTAATGCAGCTTCATTCTTCGGGTTGACGCTTAGGGTTGACCTTAACCTGCAGCAACCTATTTTCTGCTCGATCTTAGTTACCCCGCAAAAAAACTAGGTGGGATATGGGTCCTCTAAGTAGGCCTGCAAGGCTTAGATGGTCGAATCGGAGGCAACACATCCGCACCGGCTCAAAAGCGGAGGGGATGTAGAATGCGACCAGCTTGAGACAAAGCAGCAGCGGGCCCGGAATCTGTGGCGGACAGGAGACCGCAGGGAATGAAGACGTGAAGCATTCCAGGCAGCAATCAAGGCATTCGAAGGCCCCTTAGGGGTTCTCTAATCGGAGCTCCTGCGTTTTCGCAGCTACTTCAATCATGTGGTTGCTCTTGGGGAGACAGCTGGGCACCCACAGACCAGAACCCAATGCCGATGCCTGAACCCTACGTTAACCCTGAAGAACCAACCTGTTTAGGGCTCCTTATTATGATTTCCGTATATAACGCTAAGGGTCCATGTACTCATATAGTATATACATTGGCCTTAATGTAGTCCCTATACAGGTACTTTGGGGCTCATGTATCTTTTTCTGGGTACATGGACCTTTAGGGTAAGTCCTTAAAAAGTAGGATATTGAGGGTTACGGCATAGACCCTAAACTCGTAGCTGCCAACCCCAGTGGCAGGCCGTAGCTTGCACTCCCCAAACCCTCTTTGAAAAGGCTTGTATTCGGCGTAGACGCAGGCTTGCATCACTTTGACTACTTTAACCCTACAGGAAACCGTGTTTGCTTCCTTGGTCAGATATGGGCTTGTCGAAATCACCGCTGAACCTACGCGAGTTAAGGACACGACCGGTCGTACTCGCGCCCATTGATAGTGCAATGCTCCTGTGGTTTGAGGTTTAAGGTAACTAGGGGATTTTACATGATAACCTATGACTATAGGGGTTTATGATACACATATACATCTATATACACATATATACATATATCATATCCATATATATATAT